AAATTATAATATTAACGGCCGGCATTGCGATGATACGAGTCGCGCGCGTCAATCCCCCGTGGGGGACATGACTCAAAATGTATACACACACACACACATATAATAAATACGATCCTGTGTCTCTTATCTGATTCGTAGAGTTCCTTAAACACTGCGGACCTCTCCCTCCTCCATATTGTATAAATATAACGGCTCCCCACCCTCGAAACCTGTTACTTAACACTACGCGCGTACCTACGTATTATTATTATTATTATTATTGTTATTATTATTATTATTATATACACGTTTGGAAACGTTAAGCGAGAGAAGAAGCGTATTTATATTATTAACATCACGAAAACGGCCATCACCTATAAAAGGACGACGCGACGACGACAACGACGACGACGACGACGACGGACACAATGGTGTTGCGCGCGCCACCGCCGGGTCACAGGTCAACGAGGTTCAACATTCCTCGCATTTCTGGTCTGGCCCCGCGACGTCGTCGCCGCAACCGTCGTTAAAGCCTTGGCACGGGTTAAATAATTAACGTCCGATATTATTGTTATTTTTACCGTCTCACGTCCGTGTTTTATGTGTACGCACAACGATACCCGGTCTAGGATTACGTATGTCTCTCTCCGTTATTATACCGTACTCGCCAAATTTTGCCAAGCTTTGGTAGTGCGCTTTTAAAAAAAAATGTTCATCCCAAGCGATAACTCGTGGTGGACTTCACCCTTCTCATACGCCTCCTGCACTTACCCGACGTGAAATATGTTTTTAATTTCCAAATAAAATTAAAAAATCGCGATGTAAAAAATAAATGAAAAAAAAACGAGATTGCGATATAACTAGACGAATCTAATACGAAGGTTTCCACCGAAGCATTGACGGTGCGAAAATAATCGCTGTTGGATTGATTCTGGATCGGACCGTACGACGTGCGTCGACGGTTCTTCACTAATCAGGACCGGCGAGAACTTTTGAGGGCCCCGGGGCTGACCCGGTTCCAGGCTCCCTTTGCTTAAACTCAGTAATTAACTTATGGGGGGACGCAAGGAGACGGAGTACCCCAACTAATTTTCAGCATCCTCCTATAAATATTACGTTATAATTATAATGCTTAACAAGTCTTGGGGACGCTATTTTTTTTTTTTTAAGTAAACACAGTTCCCCTTCTTTAATTTTGCCAAGTCAAGCACTGCTTAAACTTGTTTGGCCAAGGTATACATACTAATGGAACTTATTTGAACATACTTAAGTACAATTAAAATATTAAAATGTACATCACATGCTACGGCGAATGAAATTATAAAACAGTTTTGTATGAAGGCTGAGACGACGGGCCAATTACGGGCCTCCGGGGTCTATCCTTCCCGGCACCACCCACTCAGTGACCCTGCGCCTAATCTATATATTGGTTTGTGTCACAAGTGTACGTATACAAGTGGCGCCGCCGACGCAGTCTCATCTGTCACCGTCAACACAGTTACCGCTCGTCGCACATCAACAATATACTGCACCGATATCATGACGACGTACGGCACCGTTGATGAACCGACGAGTGATTTCCCGTTTCACCAGGCGTATACCACGTATACCGCATACCATTATACATGTTGAGCTAATAAAAAAAGCTATGTTTTTACATAAACACCGTGTTGCCAATCGATCATGCAGGTAAATGTTTCGAACAACAATATAATTTGTAACGTCTCGTACGTTTGGCTTATCTTTACGTTCCATCAATTTAGACCGTTTCGCACGCGAATTACACGAGGATTAATACATTTCAATGTTACCTTTTACAATACGTAGGTACGCGTATAACTGTAGAGCGATTTCAGTTTATATAAAGCTGAAATAGATTACATATAAAGGGTTACGATTCAATCAGATATTAGTTTTGACAAGTAGACGGATAATAATTGGATAGATTCTTACGCGTGCGCACAGTGAAATTGGTCGACGAAGAACGAAGAATCATATTAGTATTACGTTTCTCTAAAAATAAAAAAAAACAGATTTGCCGCGCGTATACACACGTTGTGGTTGGTGGTAAAAATATGACGTCGGAATTAAAATATTTGGCGATGAAATGTATAGTTGACAAAACAACATTTTTTCACTAATCGAATTTTTTTTCGTAACATTTCATCCACGATACTTATTATAATTTGCGAGATGATGTGGTTTATTTCCTAATGGTAGACACTGTACAACAGTGAATATTCCCCTTGCGTGACGTCAGCGTTCACTGTTCAACGCTCGGGTTTTTAATCGTAAATAATGCTCTTCGTATGCAAACATAATATGATCGCATTTGCATACGTATATAATATCCAATGAGCTGCAATTTTTTCAAACAAAAATTTGGTCCTAGCTTCAAAGAAATCATCGAAATCAATCATCGATGCATTTTAAAATGATCGCATTTATTTTCATTATAACTTAGTGAAAATAGTCGAAAATGACGTAAAAACCAGTGAATTTTAAATTGAAACTTGCATCGTTTGAAAATTTTATTTATATTCCTTTAGTTTTCCAACGCCGATAAACCGTTATGTGCCGTATATCTAAATGTTCTATGGTATGTTCTATAAGAAATATTGTTTAATTATAAATATTTGTTTGACGTTTTCGAGATAGGAATGTCTCACATCAAAAATAGACAACGGAACAAAATATCTTTTATTAAAATGTTAGCTGACTTATTGTCAAATTTAGAAAGGAAAACATGGTCTGTGCAATGATATTGGTTTTTTATGATGATTTGAGTTTAAGGCCTAAACGAGTTATCATATTATGTAAAATATTACAATTTACAAAATGTTTATAATTTGTTTGACAGTTGAAACATCATTAAAAAAATATCTCATCGTGCGGGTAAAAAACTTAACAATAAAAAATTGGGTCTACTGAATGCAGATTAGCTATGTTAGACGGAGAACAGACATGGAGTGTGTCGTCCACGATATTTTATCGACTTCATATAATTTTGATTATATTTTTTTCATTCATTTGAGTGAATATAATATACAAATAAATAAATATATAAAACCGAGGAAAATATCCTTGGAAGAATATCTCTCGAATATTTTAGGGATTAATCGTACAATATTCAGCAATCATTTGTATTCAATTATTTACATTTGAAAACATATTTTTTGAAAATAGTGAGGGAGAAAATGTATTTCGAGTCACCTCAGCGGATATTACGACTGGTAAAATCGAAAAAACGTTCGGCAATCGATACACGGTGCGTATTATAGTAGTAGTATTTGATTGCGGCAACGAGAGCCAATTTTTTTTCTTACTGCTCTTTCCACACGCGCGCACGTGGAACGCTGCTACTACTGATGATTATGTTGATGATAATGACGATGATGATGTTGATGATGACGATGAACACGGTCGAATTACATATCTAGCGGCTATTTATAATACTCGAAATATCGTATGCGCGTGCGCACGTGCCCGTCCGGTCTAGAAAAAAAACAAAAAAACAACAGGACACGTTTGGAACAATATGGAAGTGCACCGCGCTGAGCACGATTGCCAAATGCGACCCGAAGACCGTAGAAGCGGTCAAAGACCGGACGACAACCGCTAACCGCGGCCGTTGTCCGACGAAAACGGTCGGCGGCGCCTGGAACGAAACCGGACACCCTCGCACGGTAATTTGCAAACGCGTCGCCGCGCGGTGATGACATCATTATGGGCACGCAGAGCTGGAGCTGGGAATGTGTACGTCCGGAGAAAATGTTAAAATTACGCCCTATCGCGGCCCAATAATCGAATACTCTTCTCGAGAATTGTTTTCTAATAATTAACGTACGATCATACTCGTTGAGTTTTAACCTCATGTCAGTATTCGACAAAGTTAAAAATATCGAATTAGTTGTCAAAAATTACAAAAAATTACACCCTCTAAAATTTTACGCCCGGGGATGAACCCCGTCTTCCACCCCTCGGTTCCGCCACTGGTGTTACGTAATCGCGTACTGTTCCGAACGCGCGGTTTCCCGTAACGCACGTGTTATCGGTACCGGCGGCGACCGACGTCGGGGACGCGATGTGCCAGTTTTTTTTTTTTCATTTTTTCGTACCGCGTGAAATCGATTTATTGTCGCGTACGCATTTTGAAACGACGGCGTTTTGCAAGAAATGCACGTACGTGAAACGCTAAGGAAACACGTGTGCACGTACGTTTGAGCTCCGGTGATCGAGTCGATAAAACCGTCTTTCGTGTTCCGTCGCGAGGCCGCCGCAACACCGGCACGATTGTTGCGTTATACATATAAATCGTAGGCGCACGTTCGGTCTAAGACTTGGGAGTGCCAAAATTATTCACCCCAAGGTGATTCGTAGCACCTCTACGTGACACCACCACCCAAAATAACATTTAAACTAATTCAATGCTAGAAGAGTTACGCTGGGTGTTCGGAGTGTGCGTTTTAGCGACGAATCCCTCCGAGCTTGTTAATCAGTTTTACATAGATATATACAAGCGATTACGAGTAATTATGACCGTCACTTGCTGCTGCTGCTGTGAATTTGATTTTCATAACAATCGACAGAAAAACGCTACTGTACATCGCTACGCCGCAGCACGTGTACAGATACGAATATAATACGTATATTACGATGTCGCGTTTTCTTCGACGTGTACCCGTGAATCAAAAGGTACACTTCGTTCTTTATTTTAATTTTATTTTCGCGATTAATTATTATAAGTGACCGGGTTTATACGTAAACGCACGCATTAACTATTAGTATATGGTATTTTGAAATCTGATTAGAAATGTGCACGATTTAAATAATTCTTATTAAAATAACAATTTCATTGTATACATAAAATGTATATATTTTGCATATTTTTAATTATTTTAGGGTTTTTTTTTTGCATATTAAATATAAAGATATATTACATTTTAGAGTATATATTTTGTATTTTAACAGTGTAACAGTTTAATTTATATGTGCCTTAATTCTCAAGTAAAAATAACAAAATGCTAAAGAACGATAAAGAGGTACGAATAATAAAGTGTTTGTGCACTATTTTTTTCAATTTCATTAAGTTTTAAACATATATTTTTTAGAATTATTGCTCGATATTATAGATTCGAGAGTCTTTCCGTGTACATAAATCCTTCGCTTCAGGAAATGTTTCAATGGCGCGAGTGATACGTTCACGGTACGTATGTTACACGTGGGTCCTCGCGCGTTGCCCTTCCAACGAAGACAAGGACAATGCGAGTGGACATGGTCGCGATCCCAAGAGATCGAACGACGATGATCTCGTTCATCTGGTCGAAGGGGAAATGAGACGGAGAGGAAAGTCGAATATCAAACATGACAAAGGTGAATAAAATGTGAGTACCGTTGAAAAACCTGTCCGTACGCGCACGAGACCGGGGAGATATACTGTAGTGTATATATGTAAATACGTGTGCCCGTAAATTATCGTTTTACTTTTTTTTTTTTTTTTATTATTATTATTATTATTATTATTATTATTATTATTATTATTATTCAACAGGATAATACGGGTTGGCGTATTAACGAAGTAGTGCACCGGACGGGTTAGCAGATAATTCAATATGACAAGTCGGTAGGACTGGTAAATTTGTTTCGGACACACAGTCGTTAACCATGCGCGATATTTATCTCGAGACGTTCGTGTGCCGACGACATCTATTAATCGCCCGTAAAATACAAAACATAAAATTATAATAATAATAATAATAATAATAATAGTTCAAGTATAAAGTGACCATTGTGTAAATAAACCTGTCAATAATATTACGGGCCATAAAGTCCGTCGACACGCGCGCGTCGTCGTTTAAAAACAACCACGACTATGTGGACACGAATTCCGACGGTTTGTATAACTAATATTATACACGTTGCTGTACGTTCCATTATAATTATCGCATCCCGGGGTGGGTGAATCGGACGCGTTATTATAGCCTAACGCGCGTTAACGCGTGCGGTTCGTGCCATACACGCGTATTTGGAACTTTTGCGTGCGCGTGAAGTTATGAATTATTATACGAAATATGTACCACTTGATGTTTTTTTTTTAGTATCAGTACCAGTACTGGCGTACGGCAGCAAAGAAAATATCGTACTCCCAAACGGTTTTAATGTAATTCGTATCGCTCGAGAATGTTATGAGAGCCGAAATGTATTGATTTATATGATATAAGAGTTTCAAGCCAATCTACGTACATTTTTTTTAATAGTTAAATTGTTAGTTATATAATATATATTTATATTGTATATTAACTTATTTAATTTTTGTTCTGATCTACTAATTACCTATTATTCTCAATTTGTCTATGTTGTACTACGTTATTGTACTACGCATCGGCGTTCACATTAATTATTAAATAAAATAAATTGTCAAATACCGAATAAACTTGATTTCGATTCAATCATTATTATACTAATTGTATTCGTTTCATTATGTTCACAATAATTACCGAACATTTAAAGCATAAATGCGCTATATATTATGTTTTATATTCATATGACATAAAATAAAACATGATGTACATAAAATAATAATGAATATCGTAGCACGAAATGTTTTAAATATTGAAAATTGTGTAAAAAACAACCGTACATTTCCGTTTGTAAAATTAAATTACACAAATCCAACTTACTGTGCAGGTACATGCCGACGAAGCAAAAAAGTTTTATGAAAAATAAAGTACACTTGGTCAATTGATACTCTTGATCGTGCAAAGCAATAAAGGAACATTACGAAAAAGAAAAGCAAACACGGGTCAAATAAATTAAAGGGTTCGGACCATTTTTCAAGGCGCGGTTGTATATTTCGAGTAAAGTTTTCAGACCCTAAGCACAGGTCTAATACGTATTGTAACCGTCTTGTAAGAAGCGTCCACCACAACGATCTATTCATCCGATAATCAGAACACTTTCCATCCGCACAGTAACAATAATAATAATAATAATAATAATAATGATCACTTGAACGAAAAGCGTACGCGTTTCTGAATTGATTCACGTAGATTCATGTGTATTGTGCACTGGCAACGCAGTATTTTGCGTACACTGCTGACATCGCTTTAAATGCGCTTTGCGTGTAACGATTGATTACAAGAAAAGAAAAACAAATTGTAATATCGATAGCTTAGTATTTAGGTAACAAGATTTACGCGCGATTACGTCCCACTGTGAGGTTGGTATACACTCCCGTACAGAAATTTAAATTTTTTTTTTCTTATATGTAATTACGTTTCGCGCGTTATTACCACATAATCGAAACGTTTTAATCCTCTCGTTTTGACCGAACCCAACATTAACCTGTGGGGGCGGGGGTTGGTGTTTGTACACACGTGCACATTGTAATGGTCTACAAAACAACAACAATAATAATAATAATAATAATAATAATAATAATAATAATAGCGTGTGTGCGCGTTGAACCTTTTATGGTTCTCAATATTCGTGACAACGGAACACTGGTCAGGAGTGTTGTTCTTACGGTATAAACGTTGTTTTCCGTCAGAGAAGGAGCCGTTGCGGTCCTGCGACTGGACAAAAATTATTACGCGATGTACGTACATGCGGATTATTATTATTACTATCGTACTCCGTGCACACGCATGCGCTCTTTGGCTGCTATACAATATAATTAATTTATTTCTATTTGAATAGATGAGCCTAATTACACCGATCAAACAACAGAGTTCTTGCGGTAATTCGAAACGTTTTTACGCATTACAAGTAAAAATACATCGCGGACACAATCATACGCGTTACGCGTGTAACAAAGTGCGAAATTTATCGACTTAAAAAAACCATAGTGAGGAGTTAAACAATATGCTTCCACGAGAATGTCTAGCGATTCTCATTATCTATACGCATCAGCCACGGTAAACGAACAACATTTCAACTGTGCGAAAATTATTCCGGGAAGTGTTAAGTATAGAGAAGGCGTCAACAGATGATCAACGCAGTGAAAAATTAAATGGTTTTATAATTCATGTTCTTGTTCGAGTACTGCGGTTCAAGCGGTAGACCGATGCGTTGAAATATAATAATAGTGCGGATTTTTTAAATTAAATCGATTTCGGACGAAGAAATATTTTCACGGCTACTAGGATGGACCAGTGCGCCGCCGAAGCCGTTGGCGAATAATTCAAATAGTATAACAAAAATATAACACCAAGCCGGCTGACTAATCGGTTAATAATGGTTCAGTTAATGAACTGTAGCGGAACCGAAAAAAACGTTCAGTGACCTAACGTTTTTGCTTTTAGTTCCGTTGCCGAACACACCGTTATTCAGTAGTGTTCGACTTACGTTGCGTGTATGCGTGTGTGTGAGTTCGCATGGGTGTTGTCGCACATAAGTGTTGGTATTGCGTGCAGTTGATAAAGTGAGATTCAGAATGAATAAAATGATCAAAAAAAACGAATAGTACCGAACTGTGTTACCCTTTCCAGTAGATCCGTGCGACTTGGTTATTACTATATGGTGATTTAAATTTCGGCAAAAACGATGGGGGAGAAAAAAAAAACAGTCTCCGACCTCTGTACAACGCATTCGCGATGGCAATAGGTTATGTAGACGGCGTACGACGGGGAGAAAGAAAATAATAATAATAATAAAAATAATAATAATGATAAAAAAAAAAACCTACCGTTAAAATGGTTCTGGACGAAGTACAACGTCACTACCGATCATGAACGTTATGCATGCGCATACCTGTACACAACCGCGCGCGTTTAAACATCGGGTCTTCTCGGTCTTCCGTGTCAGCGGTATACTTATTAATGTTTATTTATTTACTTCTTTTTTTTTCTTCAAATATTTCGTTTCTGTTTTGCCGACAAAACCCAGTCGTCAACATTGCCGTTGTCGACGATCGTACTCTTACGTAGTGTGTGTGTGTGTGTGTGTGTGTGTGTTTTTATGTACCGTAGACATAATAAAATTATTATTTATTATTATTGTTGTTATTATTATTGAATATTGTACGGTATAAACCGTTTTTTGCCGACGCAATCGCATGATAACAAAAATAATAAAGTACGACCGTGTAATTGTCATCGTCGTAATATATTTTAATTCGATTTCATTATACCGTACGAGGGTATATACAGTTATTTTTTATCGGTACACATAACTTCTTTTCATCAAATGCTGAGTAGCGCCATTTAGTGACTAATCGCACTCGATGGCTTGGTATAATATAATTAATCAAAATATAATTTGTACAAATGTTGATAATCAGTTGTTTCATCTCAAAAACATGATTAATACTGTGATGACATATGATAAATTATAATTGGTTGACAATATAATCCGTACCTACACGGGCAATCAAGTTCTTCTCCAAAAAGGCAATAAAATGTTACTGTGCAAACATGCTACAAAAAAAAAAAAAAAATCAAATATACTTAAACGTTTTTCTCTCATAATTATATGACGGCTTTTGTTTATGGTGGTGCAACTGTATGCTAAATAATATGTACTTGTAATATCTAAACTTATACTACCATAAAATAAATTCTCTATCATGTTTTTACCTGTTCTCCTTTGTAAATTACCGCCAGTCGTTAGTAAATAAAATAACTCACCGTGAAGTGCGGTACCCAGTCATCATTTCCCCGAACGAAAACAAAATGTCTAATACTTATTGAGTTTAAGCGCATTTAGTATATTTTTTAGTGATTGGTAAATTAAAAATTAAAAATTAAAAATGCAAAAAATTCACGATAACACATTCTGATTTGATATTTTTTAAGATATAACTTTCATAAAAATTGATTTGACATTTATCATGCCAGAGGTATACATCATTTTTCACATATACCATACGTATATCGAATTATAATTAATATGATATTATCTTAAAAAGACGTTACTGGTTTCGGTTACAGCAAATTTAGTGACTTCGAAAAAACAAAAGATTTTTAGTAAACACTTAATATAAAGCTTGATTAAGTATTGTTGCTAACAAAAATCATCGGAAATCAAAAAAATCTGCTGGCAATCGATATTTATCAATATATAAATAAATAGTTTATATATAGAAATAAATAAATAAATAAATGCTTAGCTTGGAGTATAATTATATCTGTATCATAATGTACACCGATTTCGAATTAAATATTCATTATCAGGTGTATAAAAAGTCAATAAAATTGTTGAAATTATATTTATCGTTGTCGTTTTTAAAGACTTTAAGTATACCAATAAAATTAATTTAACATAAATAAATTGAGTGTAGGCTTAATTATAAAAGCAGGTTAGATTAATTTCGTATTTAAATAATGTTAAGAAAACATGCTCTGCTCCGAATCGTTTGTGTTTTTATTTCAGTCCTATCCCGTGGGGGTTATTTTAAATCGTGAGGGTTATATGGTATTGTGTATGCTATAGGATTGAATAATTAATAAATAAATACATTTTTTCGGGGAGTACACATTTTTTTCTGATGGGAGGATAGAATCCCCTCAAGTCACCTGAAAAAAATACTGGTGTTTAAAGTTGTATGAGTGTAGGACTAGTTCTTTGATATTCAGCAAATTATATATATATACATGAAAAATTTAAGAAACGTGTTAACGTCTGATCGAAGTACAAAGTTAACGGTGAATCTCGGCAGTGTGTTATGAAAAACTTCATTTTTTTTAGTCAGCTCATCCGGTGACATATCCGTCATCTGTTATAGTTCTGGTTTTCAAATCAACCGAGTAAAAATAACTAATGTGACATACATTTCTCGTTGACTCATGACATACGCTACATGTACGCTATGTATAAATATGTATACGCGTATACGCGTGTTAACTGTATCGCAACTAGCCGCGAAAATATCTGCATACCTTTACGTTTTATCTTCCAACAATGAAAATCATTCCGCAACAGTCTTTCATTAAACACTCCATTTATATATATCAGGGCTTAAAACAATTCCTAATAAAGTTGGTAATCGGCTCCGGTAGTTTTTTAAAACTAGTAACCGGTTATCGTTTAATTTTGATATTATGGTAATCGGTAACCGTTTTTTTTAGGATTATTTTAAAAACTATAATAACCGTTAATTGTTTAAAAGTCGGTGATAAGGTTTTTCGGTAATCGGTTACCGGTTTTTAAAAATCATATTTTTCTATTTTTTAATCATATTTTTAAAATCTTTTATTTAGGCGATTCGTGGGTTGACAATATAACTTTTATTATTACAAAATCAAAAACTTAATATGCTTTAATTTGGTCGATTTCACTCAATTTCAATATTTATTTTTTCGAACTGCTTTAAAGTTTAAAACATATTATGATCAAGATAATGATAATCAAAAACTAAATTGCATAAAAAATGTTATATTGTATATAATATAGTACACCAAAAAATAGATGAGCAGATATTAAATAGACAGTATTAAAATATCACAAATACTAAATGGACTAAGCCTCTATTTCACAAACTATTTGGTAATAACTATTCATAACAAAATAACTATTCTATAATCAATGGTAATAGGAATTAGCGTACCACGACGACGACGTTTACGACGGTATTTATAATGTATAGTTATACCTATATATATATATATATATATATATATGATATTCACAACAGATAAGCAATACTCGACGGCTATTAATTGCTATTTGAGGCTAATTAATTATAAAAATATTTAAAAATAGCTGGAAAATTAAATTCTATAAACTATAATAGTATAATGTAATCATAACATAATTCAAGTATTAATACCGCGAAAAAAACGTTAATTATTTTGGTCGGGAATAAGTTTTGGTTATAAAACCGGGATTGAAAATACGAGGTAATCGATTTGATGTTAATATTTAGATATTTACCTCGATTACCGATAGCCAATAACCGCTTCCAGATTTCCAAAACTAAAAGCGGTTATCGGTTTTCGGTTCTCAAATTTACGGTTTTTTACCGGTTTTCGTTGCAAAACGGTAACTGGTTTTAAGCCCTGATTAAAACTAGCATTTAATAAAATTCAGTTAATTTAGCTTGTATTAAACTATGACGTATAGTAATTTCATACATAAATTAAATATACATGCATAGATAGCTCATATGTGTTGAAATACGGCAACCAAATATACAGGTATTTTGGACATCGGCGGCTAGTGCTAATGGACTCCAATAGGGTCGTTAGCAGTGGCGGGTTGAACTACTTTTACGTAAGGAGCGATGATTCTTACAAACCACCCACCCACCTGTTTTTTTAAATACCCCTACATACCAAAACCGCTCGTTTCGATCACATTGTCACTATAAAACATACCTATATTGAACAACTAATGTGGATAATTGTACTCTTTTTTTTTTTTTTTTACTAATTTAATATTTAAATCCTATAAAAATATAGTTTTGTATAGTATTTTTTATGACGATTGATCATTACTTGTTTATGTAATTGGTATATGTGAATAAAAGTAATACGTGCTTAATAATAATGAAAAGCTTTGTTGTAATGCTAGTATTGCTACACCTACACGCATACTTAATTTGCTCAAGTCCCATCATTTTTTAACATCAATTAATATAAACTATTAGCTAAATAAAACTATTTTTTAAACACCTGTTAATTATATACTGTAGATAATGTATAAGTGTATAAACAACATACTACACGTATTACGTAGTAGGGGAGAGGGGGGCACAATGAGACACTAAATTTTCAAATGGACATATCTCATTTAGTTTTAATTATATAAAAACAGTTCTTGTTTTGTTCCTTAACTAATGTACATTTTAGTATAATGTTGTTTTCTATGTAGTTTTTTAAATTAGTTTTTTTATAATCATTTTTCAAAAAAAATCACTATGTCTCAATGTACTCCAATGATGGAGCACATTGAGACTTGGGGTGGGCTACACTGAGACAATAACTTATTAAATAGAAAAAAGAAGACGTGATATAAAAATATGATAGTTTAAAACCTCTTTTTATAATATTATTATATTTTCAGTCTTGAAAATTGTGTAAATATATTTTAAATAAGAAAACAAAACATAATATCATATGATTATAAAAACTTTATTATGTAATATTAAAATGTTTTCAGTCTTGAAAATGCTTGATACATTTTAAATAAATAACAAAACTTAAACAATGTAATTAAAAACCTTTTTTTATATAATATTTTCAGTCTTGAAAAAGTTTGATACATTATAAATAAAAAAAAACAATACATAAACAATATAATTAAAAACTTTATTAAATAATATTTTTAGTCTTGAAAAAATTTGAAACATTATGTTTATTGAATGAAGTGGCCCTAGACAAACTACAATTTTCTGGTTTGCGTTAACTGATCAAGTCACTATTTCTATTCATAAAGCTTCGCATCCATTCAATCCCTGCCATATTATTTTTATTCCAAGTATCTGGTACACTCAAATTATTTTTTATAGAAAGTTCATATACAAACTTACAGCATTCAACATAACCAACACCATAACATATCTTAGCATATTTAACCAAATACTTTACTAGCATAAGTTTTAATTCTGCAGGAATAACTTGACGACAGTTGTAGTTTGGTTTCATAATAGCATCAATATTTTTATTATTTTTTATTCTCATACCTATTTTAAAAAATAATAAGTATCTACTTAGTTGGCATTAAAAAAATATTCAGTTAGGTATAACATAATTAATAGAAATTACATATGTACAGTTTGAAACTTTAAGTTTTTTAATTTAGCAGCATCTCTAATTGAATATTTTTGATTTATAACTAAACTAACTGCTTCTTCCATATCTTCTGCACTAAATGTACCATTTGTGGTTTTTTCTCACCCTGTTTCATACCATGAATAGTCCTAAAAAAACACAAATTAAATAATACTTACTATTTTAATAAAATTTAAGTATTAAATATTTTCAGCAAAATATTAATGGGGAACAATAAGACAAAAACAACTGTGTCTCATTGTGCCCCGTCTCATAGTGCCCCACACATCCATTTTAAGTTTAATATTTAAAAAAAGAACCTTAACGCTAAGTATTATATATGTTATAAATCTCATAATATAAATCTTTCTATTCTAATTAATATAATATAATAAATACGTAGCTTTAAATTAAATTACGTGACACAAAAAAAAAAAAATAAACCGTCGTCTAAATTTTTTCGTTTTGATAACAAAATTGTGGGAAATGTTAATAAACATGATACGGATTATCAGAATCAAATAATAACAGAATAGTTACTTTGTATTCAACATTACGTATCGTTGCATATCGGTATGAACCACTAGATTGTACTTCTCTGTTATCTATTTAGCTTATCTCACTGTGCCCCATGTCTCGTTGTGACCCCCTCTCCCCTACGTACTACACAACTATGTATTATACAGTAGGTACCTAAATATTATTATGCTATAATATGTTTTAATATTTAGATATTATGTACCTAGTCTATTGATGTCTGACGATTACAAAATAACAAATTTATTCTTCGTACAAGCAAAAAAAGAGTACCCCGCTAATTATTTACCACCCACCCCTAAAACATTAATGGAGCGGCCGCTCCTTAAGAACATTGTCAACAAGCCACCGATCGTAAGTAGTACTAGAATTTGCGCAAGCGTATATCATATAAAAACATCACTGTATATTTAATCTATGTACTCAAATTGTTCAATATCTGCATATCATTATATTTTATTATCTCAAAAAAATGCTAATGCATTTACGGGACTGGTACAGTCAAGGTCTTAGAAGATACGATCGACGATATATCCACCTTGGACCGTGGGTACAGTTCTCCCGATTTTTGCTAATAATTGATAACAGCGAACATGATGAGAACAAAAAAAAAAAAAAAGCTAATGCCAACCTCCAAAGTGTAAATAAAATTCCAATTCCCGTTTCGTTTTTCAGCATATAAATGAATAAATAAATAATTAATTTCATACCAATAGTAATTTTTCGAAAAATGTATACTGAGAAATATTGTTTTCTATAAAATAAAACTCTGTATTGTTAGTTTTTAATCAATGAAGTTAGACTTTTATCGTTTATTATTTTAATTTAATTAATTGATTCATTTATTCTTCTAAGGCTGGCACAACCAATCTCCCGAAATTTGATTTTAGTGATATCTCGCTGTTATCAAAATTGGGAGAACTGTACCAGCCTGGTGTATTGTGAACACGAATTTTCTAACCTTATTGGCAACACTTATTATAAACTAACCCGGCTTCTTGGTTTTCTGTTTATCAGAAACAAAACTTTTCATATTCGTAATTGTAATACTTCAGTATTTGTAGTGTACAATTTTATACTAACTTAATCTATTTGAAAATTTATTAATTGTTTTTAATCATTAAAAAAAAAAAAAAATTAAACATGAATAGTGGTATGTTATACGGTGGTAATGAAATTGGTGCATTGGTGTTTGATTTGGGCTCACAATCGTTTCGTTTCGGTTATGGTAAAGAAGATACCCCAGAAGCAGAAATACCTGCTGTGGTCGGTATTTCAGACGATGGTGCAGTGGATACTAGTTTGCTGGAACCTGGAGTTAAAAAAGGCAATCGTATCAATGAAAATACTAAATATTACATAGACATTAACACGTTATGTGTTCCTCGTAAAGGTAGGTTATACATTACAAATTTTTAAAACATTTTATCAACATTTTTTGCTATAGGCATGGAAGTAGTGAGTTGCATGAAAGATGGTATGATTGAAGACTGGGATTTGTTCGAAAAAATTTTGGACTTCTCTTATTCAAAATACTTGCAAACTGATTCAAAGTACCGACCAGTATTATTTACTGAGTCTCCCTTAAATGTTACATCAAAAAGAGAAAAGTTAGTAGAGTTAATGTTTGAAAAGTACAATGTACCAGCTATTTATCTTGAAAGGATGCTGTCTTAGCTGCATTTTCTCATGGCCTTTCATCTGGTATTGTTGTGGACAGTGGTGCAACACATACTACTGCAGTTCCTATACATAATGGTTATGTTATACGTAATGCTATTGTCAAATCTCCTTTGGGAGGAGATTTCATTAGCAAGCAGTGTAGACAATATTTTAAAGTAAGATAATTAAATATTAAAAAATGTTATTAAATACTTTTATCACTTAAATGTTGATATAGGAAAATGAAATTGAAGTAATTTCTCATTATATGGTAGCGTCAAAAGAGAAAGTGAAGGAAAAAGAAAAACCCATTTGGACCAAAAAAAAGTTACTTCCTGAAGTTTCAAATTCTTGGCACAATTATATGTGTAAATCAGTTATTCAAGATTTTCAGCATTCTGTATTACAAGTATCTGAGTCTCCATATGATGAAAGAATAATTTCAGCTCTTCCAACATCTCATTTTGAATTCCCTAATGGCTACAATCAAGTAAAATAATCTTATGCTTTAATTTTGAATGCTTTTTTTAAACGATTAATTATACTGCCTTGATTATTTTTAAAACATTACTATCCTTATTTAAAGTACAAAATTTATATTGATAGATAAGGTCAATATTTATTTATTTTTGAAGCTATATTCTTAATTAATTGATTTATTTAGAGGTATAACCTAAAAATTTGTAATCTTTATGCATAAGTTGAAGTATAATTTTTATTGTGATTCTTAAGGATAAGTTTATAACCACCAATGGTATAAATTGTATATATTATTCTGTGAAATTAATTTTCTTGATTGAAATATTTACTTTATGTTTTTTAGTTATTTTGAATTTTTGGGTTTGTTACACAAACAAAACAAAATTAATGTATTAGTTGTACTATTTAAACTCTGGATAAATTCGAAAAATCAATTTTATGGTTGTAAAAACAATTTTCAAAAATAAACCATGAATTTTGTTAGTCAAGTTTAGTTTTAAATTATTTTATTAGTTACAGAAAAAGTTTGAAATACTTTCAATTTCAACTCAATCCAATTAACCAAATTACATTATTTTAAATATTTCACTTTAATAACATATAGATAAAATTAAATACTAAACGATAATATTTAATTACCAATTATAATTATTAAAATTAGTATATGTTCAAATGTATAAATATTAAATTTATTTATACTATTAATTTAATACTGATAAATATACCTACATTAATTATGAAAAATAAACTAATAAAATCCAATAAATTTAATTTATACCATAATTTAACATAAGGCTTAAATCAGTTGTATTTATTTTAGGAATTTGGAAATGAAAGGTTTAAAATACCTGAAGCTTTATTTGATCCCAGTGCTAGTATGGGTGGTTCTATGTTGGGTGTGACTCATATTGTTATTACTAGTCTTAGAATGTGTGATATGGATGTAAGACCGGTTTTATGTGATAATGTCGTTGTCACTGGAGGAAATTCATTGTTACAAGTACATTTTTGGATTATTGATAGAATTAGATAATGAAAATAGATTTTAATATATGCTACTTTTATAGGGTTTTCCAGAGAGATTAAATCGAGATCTTTCAGCCCGTATACCAGCTAGCATGAGATTGAAATTGATTGCACCAAATGGATCTACTGAAAGACGATTCGGTGCTTGGATTGGTGGGTCAATATTAACCTCTATTGGAACATTTCAACAAATGTGGTTTTCTCAACAAGAATATAAGGAAGGAGGCAAAAGTCAAATTGATCGCAAATGTCCATAAATATTGGGTATAATAATACTAAAAAATCATATTTACATTATATTTACATTATATATATATTTTTTTCCATTAGTATTTTAGTTTTTATTTTATATACTTTTTTCTAAATATAATTGACAATTTATTACTTAACAATTATACATGAAGTTGTATAATACAATTCAACAAGTAAATGTTTACAATATATAATACAATTTATATTGAATTTTTTCAAAACAATTCATCCATAATTTTATAGATACATCCTTGATAATATGTTAAAATTGTTTATGAAAAAATGTAACATCTTTTGTAATATTAATATAAACGTTTTAATATTAATTTTCATACATCATGTCAATTCTTAATTATTCAAAAAAACATTATTTCCACACTGATACTATTCTTATATCTCTTTCAATTTCTTCATCCAAACTATATACATCTGAATTTGTGTAACAACTAATTATATTAAGTGGGTTTAATCCATTATAGTATTGACCCATGTAGGTTTTTTCTACATCACTTTCCTTTAATACCACAGGGTGCTAAAATATAAAATAAACATAAATATGAAGGACAAAATATAGTTAAATAAATATAAATCTTTAGTCTAACATCAAAATTAATGTATTAGTCACCTTTTTCACTTGACGAATATAGCCATTAGCAAGACCATAAAGCACCAAATTCCTTTCATCGATATTTAATAAGAATGAACTGAACCTTTAGCAGATATCAATATAATGTGATCCATATCTAATTGCAGCAAACATATTAAATATATCTTTGAATAGCTCTTGGTCCATCTAAAAATTAAAAAAAAAAAAATTGAATAAATTATTTATATATAATTAATAATATATAAATATGTTCAAATTAACAAACTTGAATATGATATAGCATCTGTTACTTATTCATAAAGACTCATAGTTTTATCAAGATGACTTATTTTAGTTATACATTCATACATATTACTATAACGAAATAAGTCTATCAATAAAATAGCATTACAGTAACTAAAACATAAAAATAACATAATAGATTTAATCACAATCCAATATTTAATTAAAAAGTATCAAAAAGTAAAAGTAAATAAATAAAATGTGTTAAACAAGGTTTTGAATACAAGCAGTCATCATTTCAATATCCAATTTAACAAGTTTGGCAGTTTCGCAAACTTGATTAACTCCATCAATAAATGGTGCTACCTGTTAAACACATTGTTTATTTGTTAACAATAATATTAACATAAATGTAATATGTAGTAATATTACAGTAAATTATAAAATAAAAATAATGATTTCACTCTAACTTGTCTGGTGGTTAAATTCCATTGATTTTCTAAAAGATTTATAAAGAGGCTCTAGTAATGGAACATCGAAATCGGATGCTGTAGGTGGATTACGGGAAACTTCAATAACACTCAAATAAACAAATGTATTTCGAGCTAAATAAACTTATAATTACTATAAATATAATTTTTAGTTCTTTGTGATATTTCAAATAATGATTTATTTTATAAATTTTTTCCATAGTTCTATTGAACTAATACAGATAGCGTATGAACATTTTTCTATATAAAATTAAAATAATAAAAAAATTAAACTACAAATAATACCTGTTAAAACACATTTTTTGTACATATTTATATCATTCATAACTTTAGCCAATAGGCTAAATAATAATAGGCCAATAATAAATGTTCTTGAGTCTCAGCTGATTAATCACTTTTGGAAAGAAAATTATCTTCTATTTCTAAGTTTGTCTGTAGAACAATACAAAAACTAATAAGTTAAAAATTGAATAATCGATACTAGCAAAAATAATTGTTTATAATATGAGAGAAAAAAAAAGTAAGTACATCATTATGGACATAGTGGTAAAATAAAAATATTATTTAGTTAATTAAAATATTTATAGATAAACCCATACCATAAAGTTACAACCATTCATCATGCATACTATTAAATAATATAAAATAAATCTACGTACTAAAATTGCTGTTAATTTTTTTACAAGTGGCTCTTAGTGTAATGTTTTTTTTTTTTTTTTTACAATTTGATATACACAATGATATTATAATAGTAACATGAATAGTTTGAATTAAGAAATCACCCATTGGTGAAACTCGGCTGGGAATTAACGATATCTAGAGTCTAGAACTTCGTTGTTTTTTTTTTTTTCATTTATTTATAATAAGTCACGGCACCAGTTCCTTTTTAGACGATGTCCGGGGTTTCCCAGTATAGTTTTAGTGTAATGGCTCTTTATCAATGGAATTTGGTGGCTTTGTAGGCGGTTATGAAAGCGTTTGTAGAAATCTACAGCTTCTTCTGTCACAGTTTTCATTGTGAGGTCTTGATGTAAGGTATAATTGGATACAAAAAGTGGAGTATTAGTAATTTTCCTAAGAGCTATATTCTGAAATTGTTGAATTTTGTTGGTATTAGTTACTTTTGCTGTACCCCATAATTGAAGACCATAGGTCCACATTGGTTTTAGTAGTCTTTTAAACATAAGAACTTTAAATTTTATTTAGTGTGTTTATTATTTGTAAGCAAGGGACGTAGTATGTGAAATCGGGCATTTAAGGCAAGTCTCTTGATACGGATATGGGCGTTCCAAGTGAGGCGTTTATCCAAGTTGAGTCCTAGGTATCTGACTGTGTTAAACGTTGGAATAGGAACATTATGTAAAGAGACATTTGGACAGAAGGAGTGACATAAAGTGAATGTTTTATGTACTGATTTATTTGGATTTGGTTTAATTTGCCATTTCGTGTACCATTCTGACATTAAATTCAAATGAGTTTGAAGGTTCGAAGATGCAATTTGGGGGTTTTTGTCAATTGAGATTATGGCCTTGTCATCCGCATAATCGGCTACTATAGTATTTTGGGAGACAGGCTGATCTGATGTGTAAATATTAAATAACAGGGGTGAGAGGATTCCACCCTGAGGAACACCAGTGAAATTTTTTTTCAATTCTCGAGACAAAAGATCCAAACCGGATTTGGAAATGGCGGTTTGTTAGATAAGACTTAAGCAGTAAGTATAAGGAGGGGAAAGGAATTTTTTTAATTTTAAGATTAGGCCTTCATACCAAGCTCTATCAAACGCTTGGCTTATATCGAGAAAAGCACAAGTGCAGTAAAATTTTTTCTAGGGAAAATGAGATTGCGTCAACTAACCTGTACTTGATGTATTGTACTATGTGCCGAGCGAAAGCCAAATTAAGAGTTTGGTAGAATTTTATTCGTGACGATGTAGGGTAAAAGCCTTTTAAGTATTAGCCTTTCTAATACTTTTGCTAGAAATGGCAATAGGCTTATTGGCCTGTATGAGGAAGGCAAGTCCAGTGGTTTGTCAGGTTTGGGAATTAAAATCATATTGGAGAATTTCCATAGGAGCGGAAAATATGAGAGTTGTAAGATTGAATTAAATAAATGGGTTAGGAATAAAATAGCTTTTTTCGGTAGGCACCTAGCGACTTCGGTGGTAATTAAATCGAAGCCAGGTGATTTTTTAAGAGAATACTTCTGTATTGAGGATTTAATTTCGTTTGGTGTAAAATTTTTTTCAGGAACATAAAGAGGCATGGGAGAATCCAGATCCTGAGTTATTACTGCGTTGAGAATCGGATTAAAGATATCAGGATGTGGCTTAAATATTTCAGATATGTGATGATGGAAAACTTCAGCTTTGTCTTCATCAGTTACAGCAATAGAAGTGTCATTTTTTGTTAAGGGTGGTAAGCTAGCCTTATACCGTAGAAGTTTATTTGTTTCCTTCCAAAGACTGCCGTCTGGGGAGGATATATTTGATAATTTTTGTTCTAGGATATCTGATTTATATTTTGAAAGGTATTTTTTAAGCGAGTTGGCCAGTTTATTGTATATTATTTTATAAGAAGGTAGGCGGGAAGTTTGATATAATGCTCTAGCTTTCCTTTTTTCAGCTATTAGTGAACGTATGTTTTGTGGGAGTAAGGGGGTTTTAGGAGTTCGAGGACTATTTGAATTTGACTGTGATTCCCAAGCTGCTGTTTGGATGATAGAAGTGAATTTATCCACTGCATTGTCAATATCATCATATGTTTTTAATTTTAAGTTTAGATTTATTTCTTGTTCTACTAAGTTATGGAATTTGATACGGTCTGTTAGTGGAAAAAAAAAAAGTTTTGGAGGTGTCATTTTAATTGTTGGGGAAACATTAACTGTTAAAGAACGGATGAATGGTCGAAATTTAGATCTAAGACATTTTCCGGGGTGCAGTATAAATTACTTGGCTCTTTACTAACAAATATGTCTAGTATATCAGGTTTTTTATATATAGAAGATGGCCAGTATGTAGGACCTGGTGGTGCCAATACCGAGTATTTTTTATCATTGGTAAAATTTTAGAGGACATTACCTCGGGGGTTGGTTGCGTGACACCCCCAGCTATGGTGTTTGGCATTTATGTCTCCACCAATTATAAAATTTGAGTTAATTGTTGAGAAGTAGTCGTTAAACTGAATAGCTGAGATGTTGTCTCGGAGAACAGTAGATTGAGACAATAGTGATAGGTATGTTATTTGGCTTAATTATGACAGCACAAGTTTGTAGGTGTTCAAGGGTGAAGTTTGGGAGTGATGAGAAAGACAGGGTAAATTTAATAATGATGGCAACACCACCATGTGCCATCTTGTCAGGATGATTCGACTTGTAAATAATATAACCTGGGAATATTTGGTGTGTCTCGGTTATTAACGTAATATCGATACGTTTTTCATATAAAACAGTTTGTATTTCGTTGGCGTGGTTTTTCAAGCCATTTGCATTAAAAAGGAGGATAAGATACGTTTTTGTGAGTAAGTTATTTATCATTTTTATTATTTAAAAGTGATGAAATTACTTGTGTTATGAGGGCAATTAATAGATTACTTAATAATTTAAATTTGTCAATAAAATCTGACATTGTTTTGTTAATGTCTAACGTTGAAAAAGGGCGATTGCTGTGACCTGTATTAGTTGTTTC